TTAACTCTGTTTTCTCCTCCACAGATGCTGCCAGACCTGCTGAAATTTTTGGACACGCTTTGTCTGGCATCTCACCCCAATTAAGCCACTGAGAGTGGCTCTACTAGCAGCAAGGACCCCTAATTGGAATCGCTAAGGATATGTCGTAGCATGCAAGCCCCTCCACCAAAACATGGTGATGATCTACGGGGGGGGCTCAGCTGACAGCACACTTGCCTCTGAATCACAAAGCCCTGGGTTCAAGTCCCACTTCAGGGGTGAGAACATAAACATGAACATCAAGGCAATGACAGTGCAGTAGTGAGGGAGCATCACATTAATGGAGGTACCACCTTTTTTGATGAGTCTTTAAACTGAGGTCCCCTCCACTTTACTTGGGTGGATATAAGAGATTCCAATGCACTACTTTGAAAGATAGAGCAGGGGTGCTATTCTCAGTGTCCTGACCATTATTTATTCCATACTCAAAGTTACAATAAGACAGATTATCTAGTCATTACCATGTTGTTATCTATGGGAGCTTGCCGAATACAAATTCACTGCCACAATTTTACATTTAAACAGCAATTACCCTTCAAAAAGTATTTCACTGGCTATAAAGTGATTTGAAGCATTGATAGTTGTGAAAAGCATTAAATGCAAGTCTTTCTTTCTTTTCGTTTACTATGATTATCAAATATTTTGCACATATTATTATCTATACTGTGTGCATTATTCTCTTCTGTGAAGACAAGACAAAGTCTTGATTAAGAACCATAACCGTTTTATTTTACTTCCACATTTGGTTTTATTTTATGCTGCACTACTCCTTGCTTAGCTATTTTCTGGAATTTCATAAAGCTATAAAATGTTACTGAGTTTTCTTTGATTTTTATGCAAATCCTTTTTCATAAAAATCTTTTTCATACTTTTCCTTTGCTTTCCTAAATTTCATTCTAAATTTTACTACTGTATTTTCTATAATTTTCTTGGCCTAAGTTGTCATTGTATTTGGCATAAGCATTCCCTACTTGCCTTATTTTGTTCTATGTTCCCTAACATCCAGGGGACTCTAGATTTGATTTTATTTCTTTCTTGAAGGCTTCCCATTACTCTGACAGTTGTTTACCTTCAAATACCTGATTCCAGATCACTTTTGCTAAGTCATATTTTAGCTAAGTAAAATTAACTTTGCTCAATTGAGCTCTCTGCCCTTTCTCATAACTCTAAATCACACTGAATGATTACTACCACAAACATATTCTCCCACTGTCCAGCTTCATTTCCTAAAACAACGTCCAGAATGACCCCTTTTCTTATGGGGCTTGCCATTTCCTGCTAAAAAAAATTACAAATACATTTCAAGAATTCATAAAATCATACAGTACAGAAGAGGCCTTTTGGCCCATCAATTCTGCACCATCAAAAAAACTTAGTCTACACAAGTTCCACCTTCCAGCACTAGGCCCTTAGACATAGACTTTAGTATTATGACACTTTTCCTGCCTAACTTCCATCCCAGGCAGTACATTCCAGATTCCCATCACCCTCTTGGTGAAACATTTTTCCTCAAATCCCCTTTAAACCTCCTGCCTTTCACCTTGAGATTATTCCCCCTTGTCATTGAACCTTCAGCTGTGGGAATAGCTGCTTTCTATCCACCCTGACCATGCCCCTGAAAACTTTAAACATTTCCATCAGGTCTTCCCTCATCCATCTCTGTTCCAAAGTAAATAATCCAATCTCTTCCAGTATTTCTTCATGGCTAAATTGTTTGATCCCAAACAACATCTTGATGAATTTCCTCTTCCCCACTCCTTCCAGCGCAATCATCCTTGCTATAATGTGATGACCAGAACTGCACACATTCCTCCCACTGAGGCCAAAGCTCTGCACAGTTCTGACATATTTTCCTGGTTCTTATAATCTATGCCATAACTGATAAAGACAAGTGTCTTAACAGCCGTAATAATCTGTCCTGCCACCTTCAAGGATATAGAGTCATAGTCATAGAGTCATGCAGTTGTACAGCTCAGAAATAGACCCTTCGGTCCAACCAGTCCATGCGAACATAATCCCAAACCAAACTAATCCCACCTGTCTGCTTCTGGCCTATATCCCTCCAAACATTTCATATTCATATATCCATCCAATGTCTTTTAAACATTGTAGTTGTACTCACATCCACCGCTTCCTCAGAAAGTTTATTCTGCATGCAAACCACCCTCTGTGAAAAATTTGCCCCTCATGACTTTTATAAATCTCTCTCCTCTCACCTTAAAAATGTGCCCAATAGTCTTGAAATACCCAATCTAGGGAAAAGACACCTGCCATTAACCCTTTCCACACCCCTCATGATTTTATAAACCTCTAAGGTCAATTCTTAACCTCCTATGCTTCAGGGAAATAAGTCCCAGCCTACCCAGCCTTTCTTTACAACTCAAATCTTTTATACCTAGCAACATCCTCATAGATCTTTTCCGAACCCTCTCCAATTTAATAATATCCTTCCTGTAGCAGGGCAACCGGAACTGTACACAATACTTCAGAAGAGACCTCACCAACATCTTGTACAACCTCAATACACATCCCAACTCCTATACTCAAAGGTCTGAGTGATGAAGGCAAGCAAGCCAAATGCCTGTTTAACCACCCTGTCTACATGTGATGCTAACTTCAAAGAATTACGTATCTGAACCCCTAGGTCCCTTTGATCTACAACACTACCCAAGGCCCTACCACTGGGCAGCACAGTGGGTCAGTGGTTATCACTGCTGCCTCACAATGCCAGGGACCCAGGTTCGATTCCACCCTCGGGTGACTGTCTGGGTGGAGTTTGCACGTTCTCCCGTGTCTGCGTGTGTTTCTGCTGGGTGCTCAGGCTTCCTCCCACAGTCCAAAGATGTGCAGGTTAGGTGGATTGGCCATGTTAAATTACCCATAGTGTTCAGGGATGTGTAAGTTAGGTGAGTTAGCCATGGGTAATGCAGAGTTGCAGGGACAGGATAGGGGTATAGCTCTGCATGGGATGCTCTTCAGAGGGTGGGTGTGAACTTGTTGGGCTGAATGGCCTGTGTCCACACTGTCAGGTCCTAACCCTGTTTGTTATACCAAAATATGATACCTCGCATTCATTCAGACTGAACTCCATCTGCCACTTTTCAGCCCACTGATTGATTTGATCAAGATCCCTTTGTAATCTTAAAAAACCTTCTTCACTGTCTACTATGCCACCAATTTTGGTGTCGTCCACAAACTTACTAACCATGCCATATATGTCCACATCCAAATCATTTATATAAGTAACAAACAAAAGGGGACCCAGAACCAATCCCTACGGAACACCGCTAGTGACACGTCTCCAGTCAGAAAACAATCCTCCACCACCACTCTTGTCTCCTGCCGATAACCCAATTATGACAAACAACCAAGATCCCCCTGTTCCTCTGAGCTTCCTAGTGTTTACGCACTCCCATGTTCTTTACATTGTTTCTATCCCAGTTAATAAGATAGATGTAATTCCTACTGTTATTATCCTATGATTTTGAATCTCAAAAATCTGCCTGTATTTTTGCTTTTCTGTATCCTTTTGACAATAAAGGGGCCTATAAAACACACCAATATTGATTTCCATCTTTTATTCTGCAGTTCAAACCATATGGCCACATTTGACAATCCTTCTCACCATATCATCTCACCTCACAGATAAAATTGCTTCTTTAATCAATATTGCTACTGCCCCTACTTTTATATCTCCCCACTACTTTACCTAAAAATCCTATACACCAACAATATTATGTTGTGGAGATGCCAGCACTGGACTGGGGTGGACAAAGTCAGATGTCACATGACACCAGGTTACAGTTCAACAGGTGATGGTGTACCTGGTGGGTGATGTTCTTACGTGTGATGGTAGTATCCATGTTGATGATCTGAAATGTCTTGCAGAGCTTGGCATGGTTGTATGGTATCGTGATCGCTGTTCTGCTGAAGATTGGGCAGTTTGCTACAAACAATGGTCTGTTTTAGGTTAGGTGGCTGTTTGAAGGTGAGTAGTGGAGGCATAGGGATGCCCTTGGCAAGTTATTCATCATCATCAATGACATGCTGAAGGTTGCAAAGAACATGGCATAGTTTCTCCACTACAGAGAAGTACTGAACAACAAAGTGCACTCAGTTGTATCCTGTGTCTGTCTTCTCAGGAGATGACTGTGGTTTTTTGCTGTAGTACATCAGGACTGTCGAACGATGAGTTAAGCATCATATCCCATTCTTATGATGGCGTCTTTCAGCATCTGTACATGTCCTTCATATTCCTCCTCCATTTTGAGCAGATCTGTGTATACGCAGGGCTTGTCCATAGGGGGTGGCTTCTTTAACGTTTAGGGTGTAAGCTGGAGAAGTGGAGCATCTGAGGTTATCCATTGGCCTTGCAGCAGAGGGAAGTACTCAGGTCTCCATCCTTGATGGAGATGCATGTATCCAAGAATGAAACTGATTCTGAGGAATAGTTCATGATGAGTCTGATGGTGGAATGAAACTTGTTGATATTGTTGTGTAGTTGTTTCAGTGATTCTTCACGGTGACTCCAAAGGAAGATGATGTCATTGATGTAACTGGTGTATTGCATTGGTTGGAGGTCTTGTATGGCGAAGAAGGCTTGCTTGAACTCGTGATGAAAATGTTGGCATATTGTGGTGCAAATTTGGTCCCCATGGCTGTTCCATGTATCTGGATAAAGCTGGTTGTCAAAGATGAAGACATTGTGGTCAAGGATAAAGCGAACGAGTTGTAGGATGGCGTCTGGAGATTGGCAGTTGTCAATGTTAAGTACTGAGACTGTTGCAGCGATGCCGTCCTCATGGAGGAAGTTGGTGTACAGTGCCGAAATGTCCATTGTGGCAAGGAATGTTCCTGGTTTTAGTGATCCGTGGGTGCTGAGTTTCTGTAAGGAGGCTGTACTGTCATGACAGAAATTGGGGGTTCCTTGTATGATGGGTTTCAAGATGCCTTCAACATAGCCAGAGAGGTTCTCACACAGGGATCCGTTGCCTGGTATGATGAGGCGTGAGGGTGTGTTGGCTTTGTGTATTTTCAGGAGACAATAGAAGTTTCCTATGCGTGAGTAAGTGGGATAAAAGCACACAGGATGCTCTCAAGGTCTGGATCAGAGGTCTTGATCAGTTTGTCGAGTTGATGGGTGTGTTCTTTGATTGGATCGGTGGGTAACTGTCTGTTGTGTTCCTGATTGTTCAGTTGTCGGTACATTTCTTTGCAGTGTACATTCTTTTCTGTATGACAATAGCTCCTCCATTGTCTGCTGGTTTGATGACGATGTTGTGGTTGGTCTTGAGAGCATGGAATGCATTGCATTTATTTAGGTGACGTTCTGGGCTACCTTGTGAGCACGATTGATGAAACTGGCGTTGACGCATCTCCTGATGGCTTGAGCATACATGTCAGATGTAGGGCAACAGCCTTCCAGAGGGTCCAATTTGATTCTTTCTTTTACGGTTGCTGCACTGCAGATCTCTCTGTCAACTGTTCTGATTTGTTAGTTGTCTTATTGGGCTTGGTGCCGACATCTTGGGGCTTGTGGAATTATTCCTGGAGCCTCATTCGCCTGATGAATTCCTTTATGTCTGCCACGTGAGCAATGGAGTTCATTTTGATAGTGGGGCAGAAATTGAGCCTCAGCTGGAACTTCAATTTCATCTGGTTGAAGGATGTAGTCAGACAAGTTCACAATGGACTTCCCTGTGGTGATAGGTTTCAATCGTGATATCGGGGAAGGCTTGGTTGCTGCTAGCGGTGATACTGAGTTTCTCAAGTTTCCTGATCTTGGCATGCATATAGGTGATGTAGTTCCACTGCCTCGTCTGCTTGGCAGTGTCTTGTAGCTGGTCTGTTGTGTTGTGAGCGCAAGCTGAGATTATGGGCTCTATCTTGGTTTCAAGATTGTGGCGTCTGCTGCAAAGCTGGTGCATGGGATGGTTGAGGAGTGTGCGAGAAGTACGATGGCAGAGTCTCTCAGTGTAGTCCGTGTTGTAAGCCGACTTGAGTAGGTTCATGATCTGTAGTCCTTTCGGGATCTTGTCTGCTTCCTTGCATCTCTGCTGAAACTTGACATTTGTGTCAATACGCGTGATCTTGTCAGGTAATTAAGAATGTCAACAGATAAGTAGATAACAGTGTGAGTCGAGTGTCGGTTCGCTGAATAACAAGTCTTTGCAGGTAATCAAAAGTGTCAATAGATTAATATAAACAGTGTGAGTAAAGTGTTGGCAGCTGAAAAACAAGAGAAGGGATAACCTATGAACTTATTAATTAAGGCAGAGAGATAAATACAAATAATCAAAAGTAAGATGGTGCTAGAGACAAACCAATTCGCTGGAATAACATGAGTAGGTATCAGAGTCTCTTGACGATGGTCTGTTGCTTTGCAACCTGTGTTTCTGAGCATGCTCGATGGCTACACCACCTAGTGGTGGCACCTGCAATAAGCAGCCTTCTTAAATGTAATTTAAGAGCTCAGCAGACCATAAATATTCTTTAAAATAGCATAGAACATAGAACATTACAGCCATAACAAAACCAAAGATACAGAGAGTTGTGAATGCAGCCCAGTCCACCATGCAAACCAGCCTTCCTTCCACTGACTCCATCGCTACTTCCCGCACCTTGAGAAAGCAGTCAATATAATCAAAGGCAGGGTTGTACTCTCTTCCATCGGGTAGAAGGTATAAAAGTTTGAAAACACGTACCCACAGATTCAAAAACAACTTCTTCCACGCTATTATCTGACTTATGAACAGACCTCTCATATGTTACATTTGATCTTTCTGTGCACCATCTCTGTAGCCGTAACTCAATATTCTGCATTCTGTACTACCACCTTGATGTACTTACATAACGCATGATTAATTATGCCTGGATAGCACACAAAACAATGCTTTTCACTGTATCTCAGTGTGTGTGACAACAATAAATCAAATCAAAATGGGTGGCTGAACAGTCAAGGGGTCAATGAAGAAATCATTATGTACAAGTGGTAAGAGAAGCACTCAATACACACTTCAATCTGCAAGAAAAAAAAATTGTTCAACAAACTAAAACTAGAGTAGAATAGCATAGCATAGAATAGAATAGAACAGAACAGACTAGAATATCCTTTATTGTCACATGTACTCTAGTGCAGAAGTACAGGTGTACAGTGAGAGGTTTTTACAATTTCAAGCCTCTAATTAAGCTTAGCGAGCTACATTGTATCAATGATCTACATTGGCTTACACAAGAAGTTTGCATATGGCATCTTAAAAGAAGAACTAATTAGGGAAAGAATCATTGTCAGGAATCTTAGATGAAGCATTGCCTGGCCACTTAAGATCAAGTCAACTCTTGACTAAGAGACAATTCAACTGAGCAAACAAAGCATGGTCAAGACATAAAATCTATTGATAATTCAGGGCATCCCAAAAATGACCAACACAATGGAGTATGTTAAGATCAAAAGCAGGAGAGGCAGAAACAGTGAGTAACAACAGCCACTGCTAACTGCAAACTAGTAAAATTGCCACAGCGACTATTCCTTTTACAAAAAAAAATTGAAACGAGAGATATGGGGTGAGATGTAATATAACATGTAGAATCAGACACTTGGGTAGATGTAGTTTAAGGTATGAAAAGTTAATGAGATAAAGTATGCATCATTCCAAAAAATTACGCAATATCATATGACCTTGCTTTATCTCCTGGCAAAATAAAGCCAGAAGAAAATGTTTCTCAAATAAAGTTAGTGTTTTACTTATTCCAGCATACTTGTAAATAATCTTTGTAGCAGAAAACCAAGAATGTTCTACCACTTACTGCTGAGCCAGAAAGTTGTGCATCTAGGTTGCAAACTAAGATTTCAGCTTAGAAATCTGGGATGTCACTCTAATGTAATACAAAGACAGCGTTACACTATTGTCCAGGGTCACGTTTAAGATGACATGTTAAAACAAGGCCTTGTATGCCATGGCATTATTTAAAAGATTGCTGCTCCAATGCCTCACTGGTGGAGGGAGTGAACGTTTGTATGTATGGTGCTAATTATATGGACTGCTTTTCCTGGATGGCATCATGGTTCTTGAATGTTGTTGGATGTTGCATCCATCCAGGCAAAAGAAGAGTATTTCATCACATTTCTGATTTGTGCCTTGTTGATGGCAGATATTCTTTTGGGAGTCGGGAGGTGAGTTACTTGCTTCATGAATTCTAGCCTCTGACCTGCTGTTTGGAGCCAGAGCATTTAAATGGCTGGTTCAATTCAGTTTCTGGTCAACAGAAATCCTCCAGTTATTGATGGTGGGAAATTCAACAATGGTAATACTGTTGAACGTCAAGGAGTAATGGTTAGATTCTCTTGAAGATGGTGTTCAGTGGGCCTTTGTGGGCATTTCTCAGCCCAAATCTGGATGTTGTCCAGGACTTGCTTCATTTGGACATGAAGTGCTTCAGTATCTGAGTCATCGCAAACAGTGCCTAACACTGTGAAATCATCAGCGAACAACCCACTTCTGACTATGGAAGGGCAAGTCCTTGATGAAGCAACTAAAGTCCATCCCATCTCTCCAAAATCCAAATGTAGGATGGATGGAAGGAATGCTATGTGAACAATAACCTCAATTTGCATACCTCTGTAAAATAGAAAAACTTTACACACTGCTTCGTAACATTTGAAATAGGAGCTGTAATAGGCCATTCAGACTGTCAAGACTCATCTGCCATTCAACTAAATCTTAGCTGATCTGATTGTGACCCTAAATCCACTTTCCTGTCTGTTTCCCACTGACACCCTTGTCACTCAAAAATCTGTCCAACTCTGCATTAGATATTTTCAATGACCTAACCTCTACTTGCTGGTTGGAGAAGAGATTTCTAAAGACAAATGACCCAATGAGAGAAGAAATTCCTTTCTACCACTGTCTTAAATTAGAGAAGCCCTTACTTTCAAACTGTGCCCTAGTTTTAGATTCTCATGAAAGGAAACACACATCTCAACATTTATTCTGTCAAACCTGTTCAGAATGTTATGTCTTAATAGGATCATCTTTTGTTCATCTCATCTCCAATCAGAATAGGCTCAACTAGCTCGGCCTTTCCCCCTAAGGTAAGGAATCAGTCTAATGAACCTTCTTTAAGTTGTTTCTGATTCAAAAATGGGCCTCCAAAAGTAAGATGACCAAAATTCTGCAGTACTCAAGCTGCGGTGTCACCAATGTGCAAGACTTTCCCTATTTTTCTGCTTCCTTCCCCTTACAGTAAAGATTAACATTCTGTTTGCCTTCCTAATTTCCTTGTTTTATCTGAATGCTGACATTTTGTGATTCAAAGACACCCAGGTCCTTATCCAGCAGATAATAGCCTAGCCTGTCCAACATTTTCACATGAGCCAACCTGCTCATTCCAGGAAAACCTTTTCTAAACTATCTCCAAAGCATTTACATCCTTCATTCAATAAGGAGGTCAATTCTATACAATGTATTCCAGCTGTGTTCTCACTAATGACATGTAAAGCTAATGCATAACCTTCCTATTTTTGCATTCAATTTGCCACATGATAAATGAAAGCATTCTATCAGCCTTTCCAATTACTTGCTGTATTTGCATATTAATCTTTTGTGGTTCTTGCACTAGGGCCCACAGATTCCTCTACTTCTCACAGCTCTCAATCTACCACTACTTAAACAGTATGCTTTTATATTATCCCTGCCATAATGGAAAATTCCACATTTTTCCACCTTATACTTCATTTGCCAGATTTTTGCCCAATGACTTAACATATCTATACACATGTCACTCTGTTCTCTTCACAATGTACCTTCCTTCTTTATTTATCTTGTCAGAAAATTTAGCAATCATACTTTCAGTCTCTTCATTCAAGTCATTTGACCAGTTAAAGGTTAAGGCCCAGAAATTGATCCCTGTGGCATACGACCTGTTACATCTTGTCAACCATTTGCACACTCTATTAACTAATGCATACTCCTCAATCCATCAAAATAAATACAGTATTGCTGTTTATGGGCATTTCTTTGTGCAGATATACTAATGTGTGTCCTAGATTAGAATAGAGATGAGTAGAATATTATGCAATTATCTTAAGAGCAGTAAAGGGGGATATTGAGATATTGTGAAAGGTATTAAAAAAATGTATTTTTCCAACAGTACAGTGGTTCGTGAGCATTTAAGTGACAAGCTGCTTGATAATTGAGGAAACATACAGGCAGAGCAAAAATTTGGAGACTATACGCTTCTGACAGACAAGGGGACTACCACTGGGTCAAGGGTCAAACGCCCAGTATTGCTCCTGATCAATCTACATTCCACTCATTGTACTGTGACACATGCCCAGTCCCACATTTCACATTTGATGCTTTTTTTTCTCCTAGCACATTTGTCGATTAAGGGGAGATGCATGAGCGCCAGGCAGTGTACTCAGCCATATCTTCCGCCAGGATCAACTGGGCCAAATGTTCCAGATCCCTAGTCAATCTACAGCAGGTGGATTCCCTGCCAGAGGAATTACGGGCGTTCAGCTGGAGTACCACACATCTACCCTATCTGGGGGTCTACCTCAGCCTAGCTGAGGAACTGTGGCTGATGAATTGGCAGGAGATGGAGGCCAAAGTCTCAGCTTGCCTAGGCCGCTGGACAGGACTGCTTCAAGTATTATCTTACAGGAGCCGAGTGCTGGTCATAAACCAACTGGCGGCCTCCATGCTGTTGTACCAACTGATGCCTTTGGCCTCTCCTCCTGGTTTTATGACAAAAGTCCAGAGAAGATTGCACTGGGTCACAGCAGAGCTTCCGAGTCTCGGCATTGAGAACAGCGGTCAGTCACTGGGGTGCTTCCACACCTAGGTGGTGATTTTCCACTTTCAGACCCTTCAGCGACATCTTTACGTTGAGCATCTTCCTAGATGGTTCCCCCTGGCAACGTATTTTTTCAGCTAAGTGCACAACCTCAATTACGACATACAACTCCTGTTCATTGACCTCGTGGGTCTGCAAGTCGCCCTCAGGATGTTGCCTGTCTTCTACCAGGGCCTGATCAATGTCTGGAACATGGTTGACTCGTGCTAGATCTTCCCGCCATCAGGAGTAGTGGCTATCATCAGACAGCCATTGCTCAGGAATCTGCACCTCCACCATCACTAGTTGGAGTGGCTAGCTGAGAGCAAGGCCATGGCCACGGGGGTGACCAGAGTTGGGAAACATGCTGGCTGATGGAGGCCTGAGTTGGATGTCGCTGCAGGAATTGGAAAGCAGAGCAGCATTGGACTCCCAGCTCACACAGCCAATGCCATCTGAAAATGGCGATGACTGGACCCGACATTGTGCACGCGCCTGTTTGGTCGGAATTTCATATTGGCCCGAAGGTCGTGAACTCCCTCAGGACCTGCATCCCACAATCTGTGTTGTGTGTCGTTTAACCGGCTCTTGTACAGCTGCTGCAGCACACCATCAACCTCGCCGCTTCCATTTCCGCTGCTGAAATAGGCCTTGACATGCTTACTTGCCTCCGGGCAGCAGGGATCCCCAATAGAGGGCTCTCTACGCTCGAGTCCTCCCTCTTTCCATCTGGGACTTGAGTCGTGCTGTTGCACGCCGGGGTCCCTTATAACCGCAGATTACGGATTCACAGACTCCCAGACCTACTTGTTTATTTTACGGCACTGTGGAGTTCATGGATCACATATATATTGGTTGTGAGCTTTAGACTCCCCTTTTAGTTTTTTGATAAACCTTCTGTTGTGTTTGATCTTTGGGTACCCGCTGCGGAAGGGAGGGGGCAAATAGGCAGACCTCCTCGTGGGTCTACTCCTGGGCCTGGCTCGGCTGGCAATAAACAAGTCCAGGCAGCGGGCTGTGGGTGGGGTTGTTTCTGTCGACTGACTGCTCGTCTTCCATGGTTACGTTCAAGCCCGGGTGTCTTGGAGAGGGGGCGTGTCGTGTCCACCAATGCTCTCAATGCCTTTAAGGCCAGGCAGGCACCGCGAAGGTTACGGTGCTTTATTTCTCCCCCCAACTCATTTGATTTAGTCACCTCCTTCTCTCCCTAACCGTTCCACATTTTAATGATAGCATTGCCCTTAACAGGCTTTGCTTCTTAATGTTCAGTTGGCCTCTTGGATGTTTTCCTGGTGGTGGAAGAAAATGAATCATAAAAAGTTCTTTTTTTTAAAAAAAAAAGTGATAACACTCACGTCGCCCATCCACAGCGTGGCCATGCTCCCGTGAGTCTGCTTTAAAGTGTCTTAAATCCCGCTGCACGTTCGATCAAAACAGTCGTCCCCGTTCCCACAGAGGAGCAACGGTTCGTTATTCCGTCCTCTATGACTGCCGGAGCGCAGCCTGACTATTTCTCGCTCATAGGTGACTCGGAGGAGAAGTAACTTTCCTATCACGCCTTGTGCCCGACATTGTCAACAAGTTGAGCAGTTGCACAAGCAACAAAAGTTAAATAACTTCCATTAGGATCAGCAAGTGGAATTGGGCATCCATTGACGTATTTCAGCCGCGCCGATAAAATATCGCAAGGCCCTTGGTCCTTTCTCACTAGCTGCGACAAGAGGTGAGAGATGGATGTTGAGGTCAGGACCGACTCTGAAGTGGTGCTGATTGGTGGTTGTTACGAACAGATTATTTTCGGTTATCGGATAAAAAGGCCTGGGCAGGTGAGAATGTATCTGTCGTTTATGTAAAGGTGGATTTGCAGGTTAGCTCGAAACAGTGTTAAGGTTTACCTGAGAGTTGTTGATTGGTTCTGGTTCACAGGCCACCTGTTACGTAGTTCAGCTTCTGGGGCCGATCGTCTTGGATGCCTTCATTCCTGAATTCATCCTTCTGAGTTAGCGACATTTTGTTAACTCTAAAATAGTATATTTTCAAAGGCCAGCAGCAGATCCGAATGATTTGAGAAACATTGGGGTGGTTGATCTATCTTGGACAGTATTAAAATACCACGTATGGATCGTTGCCTGGGAATCCGGACTGTAGGTTGGACTTTGCGGTCAGTGATGGAGCCTTTTTTTTAAACAACTGAATTTGGTCGGGCACTTGAAGGGTTTTACGTCGTTAGTTCCTATGATCCAAAACACCCTAGAGTATAGTGAAACCTATATGAACGAAACAGGCAACCAACCTCTTTAACCAATCGATTTGAAATATTGATAATAAGGAGTGTAGTCTGAACTAGGATATATTTTGGTTTTTTTTGGGGGGGAAGAAACGTAATAGAGCTTGAAGTGTCAACGGGTCTGATAGCGTTTGTGAGACAGAGAAACAAGTTAACATTTCAGGTTGTTTCAGTTTTAGTATAAGTTCAATTTCAAATCGGGCATAATAAAACAAATTCAGCGTGTAAAAGAAATATTGGATTAAGAATGAGATGAAATGTTAAAGTAGTGTGTTTAATCTTTCTTTTATCTCCCTTCCTCAAATTAATACACTTTGTTTTGTCTCTCCAAGTATAATCTGAAAGAATGGGACTATGCCTGTTAGCTCATTCACTGTCAGACTCTGGATCAGGCAAACCCTAAATACATCTATTGAGTTTAGCATGTATATACCCGTGAATGCAACAACTTCACACCATTCCCTTTATTTTAGTGATGTGTCAAATGGCAAGAAATAATGATCATTACAGCTTCTAGAGGAATGAAATGGTTTACTAATTTGCATATTTCACAGCATATTGTTGTCGGGTTTCACTATTAACAGTGGTGAGCATTGTTTGTACCATGTTTAAAATAGCACTACATCTAAATCAACAACTAAATAACAGGCTCAGGTAGCCAACCACTTTTGATTGAGTCTCTACTTAAATTGCATTTCAGATTGAAGCCTGAATCACCTTCATGGATGAAAGAATAGGCCCAGGATCACAAACCTTATCAATTTACTGGCTGCTTTTCCAATGTTGCAACCTTATTCTTCTAGCTGGTTTATTTGTATTTTATAAATTGTTTGATTTATTACATTGCTACAGTGCATTTAAGTCTTCTCATACTTACTCTGAATATAATTATTTAGCCCATTATAGTGTGCCATCTTTCTTGAATGGCTCATACAATCTTAGACTACAGAAGAGGCCTTTTGTCCCATAAAATCTATACTTCCAAAAATTTTCTACACCCTACGCTACTTGCATTTTCCTGCACCAGACCCTTAGCCTCCAATGTTATGTCTTTTCAAGAGCTTATCTAAGTATTTTTTAAGAGGTTGAGATTTTCCACCTCAACTACCCTCCCAAGCACTCCATTCCAGACCTCCACTACACTTTGAGTGAAAAGGTTTTTCCTCCATTCCTCTCTCAAACCTCCTGCCTTTCACTTCAGAATTCAATTCCCTTGTTATTGAACCTTCAACTAAAGGGAGCAACTGCACTCTAAGCAACTATCCATTCTCCTCATAATCTTATACAGGACACCTCTCAACCTTCTCTGCTGTCAAGAAAACAACATTATTTTATCCAGCCTTTCTTTATAGCTGAAGTGCTCCATCCCATGCAACATTCTGGTGAATTTTCTTTGTAGCTCCTCCAATGCAGTGACAGTATTTCAACGGTGGCTGAATCAAAGTTCTGTACAACTCCAACATGACCTCCCTGTTCTTATTATCTATGCTATAACTGATAAAAGCAAGCATGCCGTATGTTGCCTTAACCTGTCCTACCACGTTTTAGGAGTTTATGGATAAACACTCCCAAGATTCCTCTGAGCTTCCTCATGTTTTTACATTTATTGATTAATCTTTTCTCTTGTTCCTCCTTCGAAAATGCATCACCTGACATTTCTCAGGGTTCAATTCTATCTGCCATTGATCTGCCCCCGAGTCTATCTGTATCGTCCTCTATGCTAACACCTTCCTCCTCACTGTCAACAGTCCAGGCCAATCTTCTTGTCATCTACAAACTTATTTTTCATCCCTCCCACATTCTCATCTACGTCATGAATATCACAAACAATAAGGGACTCAGCACTGATCCCTGTGGTATGCCACTGCGTGCTGAGTTCAATAACATAAATAGCCTTCTACTACCACTCCCTGTCTCCTGTCACACAGCCAATTTTGGATCCATTCTTGCCAAATTAGCTTAGATCCCATGAGCTTTTACCATCTTTATTAGCTTCCCATATGGGACCTGTCTATAGCTTTGTTGAAATCCATTTGTCTCATAGCCCTGCTGTTTCTTCTCAGTCCTGCAAATTTCACCCCTTCAAATTCCTGTTGCAAGGTTCTATTGTAGCTTTTGAGGCAGTGTATTGCAGATCATAATAACTTGCTGTGTAAAATGTATCACAAGATATCACAACCAAAGTACAAAATTTCACATGCTGTGTTGCTCATTTTTTTAGTCTGTTTTTAGCCTCTCGAATCTGTTACAAGTCTGCTCATTGATTAATATTGTTTCCAGTTTTGCATTATCTGAAAGCGTTTAATTTGTGCTTTATATTCCTTGTGCCAAGCCAGTAATGTATATTAAAGCTTTCTAATACTAATCACTGTATCACTCCCTCTAGTGTCTCAATCATTCGCCAGTGCTGTCAACTTTGTCTGTTAGTCAATTTTGTTTCCACACTGTCTCACTACCCCTTTAGCTCATGTGCTTCGATTTTTCTTACATGTCTATTATGTACAATTTTATCAAGTGCCTTTGAAAGTCCATGGGCACAATATGCATGTGAATGTGTTAAATGACATGAACTTTCTTCTGAAAGTGTCCAGTGCTATTGAAAATTAATAAATACAGTCACAAATGCTGGCTAAAATTGTGTTACTTGCACTTTCTAGAACTGGAATATAGAACCCGACTTTACTCATCATGCTCATACAGCCTCTTTAACGACTGTGGCTATAAATGATTGCTATGTGGCAACGGGCAGTAAAGATGAAACTATTCAACTGTACAACATGAAAAAGAAAATTGATCAAGGATCATTATTGTACCATGATGGTGCGTAAAAATATGCTTTCACACTTTTTGATATTGATCTTTTTGTGGATAACTTAAAGTAACTCGAAGAATTGATTACTAAGATTATTGATGGTGCTGTGTAAAAAGCAGAAAATTTGTGCCACAGAAGAGACTATTTGATTTATGGTACTGTTCCCTGGAGAATTATTGCTGGGGTCCTGGTGTGCACTTTTGTCAAAAACTAATACCTGTACAGTAGTCTTGGAGTAGAAAATTATGACTGCCTTTGTCTTTGGGTTCTAATTTCATGATGAAATTTCAGAATTTCACATGATAATGCCAGCGAGAGATTCTACAAGCCACAGAGTATTAGAAAAAGCTTTTAAAGCATAAAATACTGGAGGCACTTGGCCCTTAATGTTGGTCAAATTTTAGCATTTAGTTCAATAATGAGAAACTTGGATCAGAAACAATATGCTAAATCCAAATTAGGACAATTAGAAAGTAACGAGGACAGATTTGACTGGAATGGACTGGGAAAAGTAGTTTAGCAGAAAAGATGTTTAAGGAATTAGGACAGACCTTTAGAGAACAATTCATGACTCTCAAGATTAATATATTCCAGTAAGGAAGATTCTAGAAGCCGGGATAAACCAACCATGGTTAACTAGGGAAGATAAGGATAGCACCAGCCTAAAAGAGGAAAGATTTAGTGAATAGTAGAGGTAAGCCAGAGGTTTGAGAAAAGTTTTAAAACCAGCAAAAGATGACCAAAAAACAGTGGGAAACTAAATCGAGGCTAAACTGGCAAGTAATATCAAAACAGAAACTCTTGCTGTCCTTCAAGATATATATTTAAAAAGGAAGATTAAGGCCAAAGTGAAAATTGGCCCCTTGAAGAATGAGGATGGGGAAATAATGTGGGAACTGGGAAATGGCAAAGGCGTTGAATAACTATTTCGCAGCAATCTTTGCAGTAGAAGACATTAATAACCTTTCAAAAATACTAAATAATCAAGGGGCAAAATTGGGGGAGGAAATAAATACAGAAATAATCACTAGAGAAAATGTGCTTCGAATAGGGGAGCCCAAAACTAGAGGGCATAGGTTTGAGGTGAAAGGGGGAAGATTTAAAAGGGACCTAAGGGGCAACTTTTACATGCAGTGGGTGGAACAAGCTGGCAGAGGAGGTTGTTGAAGCTGATAAAATTATAATGTTTAAAAGGCATCTGGATGGGTATATAAACAGGAAGGGTTTAGAGGGATATGGGCCAAATGCTGGCAAATGGGACTAGATCAGTTTAGGATATCTGGTTGGACTGAAGGATCTATTTCCAAGCTGTATAACTCTATATCTACAACTATGACTGTAAATTGAATAGGCTGGAAGGCTGATAGGTCCCTGGAACTGGCCTTGTAGAAAGTAGCCATGATGTGAAGATGCTGGTGTTGGACTGGGGTGGATGAAGTCAGAAGTCACATGACACCAGGTTTATTTGAAGTCACCTGATGAAGGAACAGCGCTTCAAAAGCTTGTGATTTCAAATAAACCTATTAAAGAAAGTAGCTACAGAGGTAGTGGACGTATCTTATGAGAATTCTTCGATTCTGGAGTGTCCCAGAGGGTTGCAAAACTGGCAGTATAACACTCTTTTTCAAAAGAGAAGTAAAATAAAATTCACTATAAGCCAGTTAACTTAACATCTGTCATTGGGAGAATGTTAGAATCTATTATAAAGGATGTAATAGAGACAATTTAGAAATGCATAATGTAATCGAGCAGAGTCAGCATGACTTTGTGAAGGGGAAATCATGCCTGACAAATTTATTAGAATTCTTTTGAGGAGATAACATGCAGGATAGATGAAGGGGAGTCAGCAGATGGTAATATCTTTGAATTTCCCAAAGGTATATTCCAAAAGGTACAGCACATAATGCTACTTAAAAAATTAGTTTATTACCCTATTAACTGTTGAACTTATGTACTCGATTGTGATTTATGTGCAAGAAACACCAAATTCCACTGTTCTGTAGTCTTCCTCCATTTCACTAACATTCACCTCTCTATTCTTTCTATCAAAGTACGTAAACTCGCATTTTCCCAAAAAATTCTAAGTTTTTGCCAACTTGCTTAACCTCTGTCTATATCCCTCTGTCAGCTTTTTGTGTCATCCTCAAACTTGGTGATATTACATTCACTTTCCTCATTCAAGGCAATATATATTGCAAATATGGCCCCAGCATTTATCCCTGTAGCACTCCAATAGTTACAGGCTGCCATCCTGAAAATGCCCCATTATCCCAATTCTGCATGGGCTGTTATCTTAAGTGCCTAACCTGTGGTATCTTATCAAATGCCTTCAGAAAATCCAAATTTATTTAGTGCACTGCTGCTTCCCTTTTTATCTGGGTTCAGTTAGATCACTTGACTGGATGGAGGGTTTGTGCCACAGAGTGATACCAGCAGTGTGAATTCAGTTCTTACACCAGCTCAGGTTACCCTGAAGGACTGTCCTTTTTGACCTCTCCCCTTTATCTGAGGTGTCAGCCCATGGTCAGAGTTGGCATAAACGTGACAGAGATTTTTAGCTGCAAAAGCAGAATTAGTTTGCCTGGTCTAGCATTAAAGTAAAATCATAAGTTAGCACAACAGTAGCTTTGAGGAGATAAATCCAAGATAACGGGATTGAACAAAGAATCTGATAAATTAATGTACGGGGGAGTTCTGTACAAACCACAGCTGCAAATGTCTAGAAGGTACAGTCTGATAAGAGATGTCTGGGAATAGACAGCCCGAAGTTTGTAATTTAGCAAGAGTTAAAAGAAAAGTAATGATCCCACAATATCTAGAGACAAATGATAAGTTAAAAGAAGAATGAGGTTATGTCTAATAAAACCCATTGAACTGTGAAAGTGATGGAGTTTCAACCTTATTAATGGAATAGATATTGTCTTATTAGGTAAAACAGTGAGTGTAGAAGTATTTAGAGTAGGGTCAGTAAATTTCATCTTAAAAGACAGCATGTGACTAGGATGAGTTATAGTTGCAGCTGCATGATAGTGGTCACCTGGCCTTCCAAGGGCAGATGGTACAGCAGCTGCTCACAACCCAGTGGCTAAAGAATTCTAATATTAGATGTAACCTATTGTACTATAACTAACTTTAACTTTATATTAGAAATGTGATTATGATTTTTATAGCAATTAGTAGGAATTAGCACCTTTTTCTATTTCCTGTGATTAGGACAATAGGAAATATTAAGACGAGTAACATAATTTGATAAGAGTAGCAATGAACTGCAGAATTCAAGTGTCGTTGGAGATAAGCAAGTTTGAGAAATTTCTGAGAAGGAGTATAACTGTTAACATTTAAATGTATATTAATGAAGTATATTTTAAGATCCCAATGTCTAATGATAACGATGCCTGGTGAACATCATGAGATCATTGAGAGCCTAGAGCTGCCCATGGGGGTGTGCTACATTGATCAGGTATTTCACAGGATTGAATATATAGATTTGGGGGGGGTGGTAGAGGGGTTTGGAAGGAACAATGACATCAATGTTGCATGTAATTATTGTAACATGAAATGTATAAAAATGCTGTATTCAGCTGGGGAAACCAGAGTGTCATTGACCTCGCCAATCTGAACCATATTTAGGAGGGCAACTGGGCTCCGCATGAAAGCCAGATTTGGAGTGGTCTCTGGCCTCTCCAGCATGTGTGGTAAAAGAACTCTGCTGAACGCAGAACTCAAGACACTTCCTTGACATCTCTCCCCAGCAGTGACCTCAGGTTAAATCACCACCTCTCATTCTCTCTCTACTGAAAGAGCAGCCCTACGGTCCTCTGGGACTATGGTGACTTTGTCTAGCTGCTTGTTACTACTTCAAAGAATTCAAATAAATGTTAGGCATGATTTCCCCAATCTGATTCATCTCTGCCCTCTCCTGAGATCCCCAGTCTCAGATGCTAGTCCTCCCCCCACCATTTCTATTCATTCCACACGATATTAAAAAATGAAGAAAGGCAATGGATATTGTAAAGGCTATAGACAACATTCCAGCGATGGTACTAAAGATCTGTTCTCAGTTTGCACTTCACTTCTACCCAAGCTGTTGCAGTACATCTACAACTTGGCATATACCTGGCAATGTGTAGAATTACCCAGATATGCCCTGTCTATAAAATGAACAAATCCAGCATGACCAATCACTGTCTTATTTGTGTACTTTGATCGTCATCAAAATGATGAACAGATTGTTGACTTTCTGTTAGGGAAAAGTCTTCAGGATTCTCGAGTAACTTGTGAAGATGTCACCTGAGGTGTGCATCAGTGAGCATAAATAACAGTGTGGGCAGAGTTAGAACACTAGAAGGAACAATCTAGAGGATATACTAGAGTGAGACTCTCTTGAAGAACACAGAGCACATGGACATGAGCACACAAAGGTGTCTATCCTTCCCTAATGCATATAATCATAGGTGTACAAGGCCCTGATTAACTATGGATTCTGAAGAAAAGTCATACTGGACTCAAAACATTAACTCTGTTTCTCTCTCCACTGATGCTGCCATACCTGCTGAGTTTCTTCAGCATTCCCTTTTGTTTGTTTCAGATATCCAGCATCTGCAGTATTTTGTTTTTATCCTGATATTTCTATGATTACCATGTGCAGCAGTATTTAATTTGCAAGCATTAGAAATACTGTTACCTTTTGAAGTTCTAAGCCTTTTAAAACATGGTCTGAAAAATCCATAACACTAACCTACTCGGTGGTGCTCAGTTTGAGTTCTGCCAGGCAGCTTCAATTTCTGATCTCTTTACAGCTTTGTCCAAATATGGACAAAAGAGCTGAACTCCAGAGGTGTGGTGAAATATCAAGGCAGCGTTTAACCAAGTGTGGAATCATGGCGCTCTAGGAAAACTAGACTCAATGGGAATCTAAGGGAAAATTCTCCACTGGATGGAGTCATATCTAACACCAAGGAACATAAATGTATCTGTTTGAGTTCAATCAAATCTTACCTGGGGTATTACTGCAGTGTTTTAGTGTTGACCCATCTTCAACAGTTTCGTCAATAACCTTCCCTCCTCTGGTATTAAAGAAGTCATGTCCATATGTACTAAGACCCAGAAAATATCTAAGCTTGGCTGATAAGTGGTAAATAACATTTGCACCACAAGTGCCAGGAAATTACTATCCCCTAACATGAAAATCTAACTATTATTTGCAGATTATTTGTAGATCAGGAAAAATTGTACCCATTGGCATGGTAGCAAAACACAGGTGATGTTGATTTAAGCTGAATGGTTAAAAGAGCAAATGCTGATGAGAGAAACCTTTCCACGCAGTGTTTGGATTTGCCCTGGAATGTACTGCTTGATTGGTTGGATGCTGAGTCAGTTGTGGTTTTTGAAAAGACGATTGAAATAGTTATCTGAAGAGGAAAAACTCGCAGAGCTGCAGGGAAAGAATTGATGTCAAACTAGCCGACTTTCTCTTGTAGAAAACCCAAAGGAAACAAAGAGCCAAATGGCCATCATCTGTCCTGTTGGCTATTGTGATTCTGTTCTACAAAGAGTTAGCAGTTTTGCACTCAAGTTGAGATGTTAAGTGCAAGATCGTAGCAGTATTAATTGTGTTAGGGTGAGCCAATGAATGCAAGAAAGGAAAACAGAAATGCTGGAAAATCTCAGCAGGTCTGGCAATATCTGAGAGAAATCGGGGTTAACGTTTCAGATCCAGTGACCCCTGTTCAGAACAGATGAATGCAAGCTCAGAGTTGCACTTAATAAGAAAATTTTGGGAGGTGAATGAAGGGATGAGTTGTGGATTGATTTGTTTGTTTCCACTGTGCTGCCTGTAGCTCCAAAAATATGGGCACTACTTATCCAAACTTCTCTACCTCTAATTTTTGATTAAATGGATTTGTTGGGAGCAGTGAAATGGATTTTAACATCTTCCTGGTGAGGATGCATTTTGTACATTTTAACATTTCTGGTTTGATTTCCTGCTGCTTGCTTGAACTTCATACATGGTGCCATTTCAGAAGCACTATCTATAATTCTGAAATTTTTCTCTAATCATTGTCGTTCATTAAGTGAGCTTAACAGCAAAGTGCCACTCATAATGATCATAATGACATGAGTCAATCCTGCCCTTATGCCAACAATCAGAAATTAGATTGGTGGCTATTCTTTTTAATTAATAACCTAAGGATATTGAAGGAAATTAAAGCCTCTTCTTCCTGACAACTCTCTTAAACTTATACATGTGATCAAGTAACTGCGCACAAGTTGGGGATTTCACAGAATCTACAGAATTCAGTTCCACATTTGGCAGAGAGCTAAGATTGCATGGGGTGATATAAATGCATTTGGAAAGTATCGAGTGCAATGATGTGCAACCGGTGCTGTTGGTATTGAATATCTGTTTATAATAGGTGATCTCTGATTTGTATGTACCTTTTTTATTGTTGATCAAATCTTGACCTTCGTTTTCTGAAGGTACAATAACCTGCCTTGAATTCCATGGAAATACACACTTACTCAGTGGAGCAGAAGATGGGCTCATCTGCGTGTGGGACATTAAAAGATGGGACTGCCTGAAGACTATTCGAGCTCATAAGTAAGAACCATTCATGCAATTTGGTGCTAGTCGTTTTTGTCTGTGACTGAGCGCAGTATCTATCAAATTTCAAATCATAATGAAGTTTGACTAGTAGCTAGCAAAATACAAGCTCCCACAACAGTCCAATAGCAATCTTTTTAAAAAGGAGGTCCTTCTGATGCAGTCTAAGTGCATTTTTCCTGTGGAAAAGTAAGGAAAAACAAAACCAGAGCAACAAAACTGGATAACAAAATTAAAAGGCTGAATATAAAAGTGAAAAAAAGGCAAATTAGATTATGATAAGAAGAGATTAATGGCTAACATTTAAAGGAAGTCTAGAGATATTGTCTGGATGAGTGTGAGGCAGCAAAACTAATTAGAGGCTAAAATGGAGATCAGTTAGTGGAGGCAGAAGTCATGGGAGAGGTACCAATGAGTATTATATAATCTGCTCCTCAAGGAAGAGGCCTTTGCAAAGATAAAGCCAGAATGATGTATGTGATTTTAAAAATTATAGTGAGAGGGAAGTGAGCACTTTTCCAAGTCTTAGTGTATATGGACATGGCTGCTTCAATACCTGAAGAGGAAAGGAATTCATGGAACAATTCCGGATGTTTGACCTAGGACACGAACCCTGAGGAAGTGCTGCAGTAATACTCTGGTTCAGAAAGTACAACTACATTGCTTTGTACTAGATATGGCTCCAACCAGTGGAGAATTTTCCCCTGGAGTTCCATTGAATCAGGTTTTGCTAGAGTTCCATGATTCCACACAGTCAAATGCTGCCTTGATGTCAAGGGCTGTCATTCTCGCCACACTTCTGGAGTTCAGCTGTTTCTTTTTACCATGTTCAGAAATGATCACTTGGACCAGATGTATGTTTCCTAATTGTTGAAAAAATTAAGGATAAAAATTATGGAGGTGCTGAGCACAGTTTTCCAATTCCCCCTTGAAATCGAGAGTGGTGTGAACACTGAAAGGGGACAAAGAAAAATCTGGCAATGGCAAGACAGTTGTACTCTGATACTCAAAATCTTCTCTGCAAATATTCCAGTCACTTAAATTTGGCTAACTTGCCTGTTAGAATTCTGCCATTTAGAAATGGTAGTACAACTTTATTTGACCTTCAGTCATCTGGAACCATGTTTGTCACCTATGGAGCATTGGAAAATGATGGTTAGCGCCTACACGACTTCTCTAGCATCCCTTAACAGCCTACATTTTGTATTGCTCTTTTAAAAGATGTTAAAATCATTAGTACTTGCCTTCTCGCTGTTGAATTAATCTAATTTCATACTTCTCCCTAATTATAATGTGTAAGTTATTGTCTCATCTTTTTTGTGAAAATGATACAAAATATTAATTAAGAACCATATCTGCATTGTGTGCCTCCCCACACTGATTCCTTTTGTGCTCCTAGTAAGGCCTAATCTTTCTTCTACCTTCAGGATCTTATTCATATTTCTCTGTCATTGGTGATATGGACCATGATCTCTGACTGTCTTCTGACCAGTCACATCCTTGATCCTGAAATAGGGAAGGCAACGTAATGTGCTGGAGCTACATCTGCAGTTATAGAAGCAATTTTCTATTCTGATCAGGGTTTTGTTTGTGTCTCTCTCTCTCTCTCTCTCTCTCTCTCTCTCTCTCTCTCTCTCTCT